GTTAGGAAACAGAACTTCAAGAACACGGCCACACAGCCCGGAAGACCCACACCAGCCATCGTATGCTGCCCGTGAAAGCCTTCGACAATACACTTTTCTCCTTTCACTTCAGAAACTTATTAAAATTAAGTTTCTGGGATGATGTCATCCAGAATAACATAGGTACATGTGATTCTAAAACTCACAAGGTTTCAATAACCTTACATGCTGTTACACCTTAAAGTTGTGGGGAAATGACTCCGAAAGTTCCTTCCATAATATACATAGATATATTTTTAAATTAAAGGAAAAATAGTCCATTTGCCAGAATTCCTGCAACATTTCTACATACTTATTAAAGCTTGCTAATGGGGGACTCTGCAGTCTTTTGGGAAATACTTTTGTCTCAAGCAGTTGCTAATAGTTAACATTAACATTACTCATCCTGGAAGAGGTTCTCCTTGTTTGATCTGGGGACCCCAACTGTTTCCAGCATAGGTTTTCTCTGTGTATCTTTGGTCTGTAATTTCCTGTCAAAAGAGGAAGGATGATCTTGCTTAGGGAGAAATATAGCATAAGCTTTAATTGTTAATTAAGAAATACAGGTAGTCCTTGGTTAATGACTGTTTGTTTAACAACAGTTCGAAGTTACGATGGCCTCAGAAAGGGTGCTTTACAGCGTGTAAAGCACTTCCGGACATCATAAAACATTGCACCATGCCCCCTCCCCTGTAGTCACATGGCCACATTTTGGGCACTTGGCAACCAGCTCACATTTGCAGTCTTCTCTGCTGACTTTCCCATTGGAAGCCGGCAGGGAAGGTTGCAAACAGAGGGGATGCGGCAGCGTGCAGGAACAGAGTTCAGCTCCATTCTTCCAGCCCCACCAAGGATTTCCCCTCCATTCACAGAGGGGAGTGGAAAGTTCTTGGCGTTGTGAAGGAATGGAGCTAAAGTCTTCAGGATTCCCACTGTCCTTCCCAACGTCAAGGGGTTTCCCCTCCCCACTCAGCAGTGGGGAGGAATGGAGGTCAAATCTTCAGGATTTGAGTTCCATTCCTTCACACCGTTGAAACCTCTCAGTGGTGTGAAGGAACGGAAATCAAATCCTGAAGAGCTCCATTCCTTCACACTGTTGAATGGGGAAGGGAAACCCCTTAGTGGTGTGAAGGAATGGAACTCAAATCCTGAAGATTTGACCTCCATTCCTCCAGCCCCAGGAAGGATTTTGCCTCTGTCCATGGAGAGGAGGGCAAACCCTTTGGTGGGCTTTAGGAACGTTTGAGAGCGAAAGGACTGCCTGCCGGGAGGATTTTAGCTCTACATGGAGCTGAAACCTTCCGGCAGGCAGCCCTTTCACTCTCAAAGAGCTGCCTGCTGGGAGGATTTCAGCTCAGTGCTGACCTGAAATCCTCCAGCAGACAGTCTTTTGCTCCAGCCGCTTAAGAACCAGGAGATCGCTGAACAACCACAACTAGGCATGCCCGGATTGCGGATGTTGAGCAAAGGAGTCATGTGGGCATCTTGCTTAACAACTACTTTGCTCAGTGACCAAGATTCTGGTCCCAGTTGTGGTCGTTAGGCGAGGACTACCTGTAGACTTTAAAAAGATGACCTGTACTGCATACGTTTTGGTGAAGTCTTAAGGTCATAGGGAATTATGGTCACATCCTGAAACTGGTATTTTTGGCTAGTGGAAGGGCAATCAGTAGGAGTGGTTGCATGCTAATCTTACAGCATGCGTTGAGGTTCTCAGCTGACTGGCTTTTGGTTCAGCTGTGGTACAAGACAAATAGCAAAACTCCTGTTTTCAAACATGAGACACTGAAGCTCTGCAGAACATGAGGATGGACTATTTCTGCATTCATGGAGACCTTGTCACCCACTGATTGATCCTGGGGATCTGTTAAATTTCACATTCAACCTTATCAGAGAAAATCAATCTTAATTTTTCACAATTCCAATAAAAGCTTCATTTTCCCTGTTACTCAAATTATTTTTATGATCAGTTGATATCCAGTTTACCCCTCTCTGTAAAGCTCCCCCTCCTGATTTTTCCTGCTTGGACCAATTACTAGAAGTAAAAATTATAATCCAAATTGCAGCTTTTGGAAAAAGCACCTGGCTGCTATACTTCAATATCATGTCACCATCAGTGCTTTTAATGCAAATTTATATGTGAAAATTTATATGTCTTCATGGCCAGGCAGCTTTCTCACTCATTCCAAGAACTCAGATTTCTGGGAAATTGGCCAAAGGTACATTATACTAGTCTGAAATACAGGAAAATTTGCTGTTCTTTCTGTGTGAAGAAAGCTGAGAGTTTTTTTGTACTCCATGAACTACTAATATTCAGGGGGAGGACACTGATTATTTTTGTATTCACCTGTTGATTGGAGGGATTGGAGCATGCTGTTCCTTTCCTATTGTTAGTGTGCCAAGGTTGGCTGTAGTAAATAAAATCACATTACCAATGATGTTTTGTGAGGCACATCATCTCATAACACTTTGATTAAGATGGATCACACACAGGCCCTACTGTACAGTAGATTGGTGGGAAATATATACTTGTGGGCCTTTAAGGAACTGTAAATTATAAACTCAGCTGCCCAGAGTCACTTAGATGTGATGGGCGGCCATACAAATGGAATAAATATTAACAATAATAAAAACTCCTTTACTGTTCTCATGTTCTTGTAATTTGTAGTACTACATCACATTTTCTGCAAGATTTTTTCATGGAAGTCCCTGTAATCCAAAATTGCAATGTCTTAAACTAGAAATAAACATAACCATGCATATATATCAGGACATATCTATGCATTTGTTTGGGGTTTCTACTGAACAATAATCAAAACATTCCAACAACGTTGGACTTCAACTTAACATCAACATAGTGTTTCACCAGTAGAAGAGAATATATGTAGCTCAGGGTTGAACTGTGGAGTCTTTGGGGTTCTCTGAGCTTGGTGGTTTTCTTGCAAACATTTTGTTACCTGGCAAGGTAACATCTTCAGTGCATAGCAAAGAAAACAAAAATAACAATGTCCTCAGTTTCCATATAGTATTACGTTACTGAGATCTGTGACTAGATACACTGTTTTTTTCCTATTGCTCAGTAATTAATGCTAACTATTATTACACTGTAACTATAGACTACTGTGTCCCA